AACCCTAAACCCTAAACCCTAAACCCTAAACCCTAAACCCTAGTTCCCAAACCCCAAACCGTAGCCTCTCCAAACACTAGCCACTAAAGTGCTGCAGCGCAACAAGAGCTTCTGCCGTGTCCAGTAGCTAGCTAGCTAGCTAGCTAGCTAGCTAGCTAGCTACTTTGCTAGCTTGCTAGCTGCTTCCTTGCTAGCTAGCTGCTGCTTGGGTAGCTGCAGCAGGCTAGCTCTCGAGCTGAGCTCGCTAGCTCCCTAACAAGCTAGCCAGATACCTATCTAGCTAGCTAGCTAGCCACAGAGCTCGCTAGCTGCCCGGCTGCATGGCTATCTAGCTGGCCATACGGCCAGCTAGCCATGCAGCTAGCTAGCTAGCTCTCTAGCTACATATCGAGCCATGTCTCTCGCAACTTAGCTAGCTGGCTACCTAGCCACCCATGCATCCACCGAGGCAGCTAGCTATCTGTACAGCTAGCGAGCTGGCTAGCTAGCTAGCCATTGCTAGGTGGCTAGCTAGCTAGCCGTCGCTCTCCGGCCAGCCAGCTAGCCAGCTAGCCGTCCCTCGCCAGGCAGCCAGCTAGCCAGCTAGCCACCCGCCGAGAGGCAGCCAGCCAGCTAGCCAGCGAGCCAGCGAGCGCCAGCCAGCTAGCCAGCTAGCCAGCTAGCTAGCCGCTAGCTAGCTAGCTAGCTGACCCGCTGCTGGGCCTCCGCGAGGGCCTGGCTGAGCGCAAACTCCTCGGATGTCCACTTTTGCTCGAAGTCCGTCAAAGATGAAAACTTTTTAATTTTGGATTTTGCAAAAGAAAAAAAATTCAAAAAGATTTTGTCCACTTCTCGCGCCTGCTGTAGAGACTCTCCGTCGGGGCTGTAGTTCATCGGGCTGTCCCATCTGAAAAAAAAGTTTATTTCAAAAGTAGTTTTAATTAATTAATTAAATTAATTAATTGTTTCATTAATTTCATTAATTTTATTTAAAAAGAATTATTTAAAAGAATTAGTTTAAAAGAATTATTTTCAAAAATTATTTTAAAAGAATTATTGGAAGATGTGGAAGGCGGAGCTTAAAGGAGACACCTGGAAAGGGCTCAGAGAGACGAAAACATGAGGCAGCTGGCTAGCTAGCCAGATAGCTAGCCAGCTAGTTAGCTAGCTAACTAGCTGGCTAGCTAGCTGGCTAGCTAGCTGGCTAGCTAGCTAACTAGATAGCCAGCTGCTTAGCTGCCTGGCTAGCCAGCTAGCTAGTCAACTAGCTAGGCAGCCATTTAGCAACCCAGAGACCTAGCTAGCCACTTATCTAGCCAGCGATTTGGCTAGCTAGCTGTTCAGCTAGCTAGCTAGCTAGCTAGCTAGCTAGCTAGCTAGCTGACCTGTTCATGAGGCAGAGGTAGCGAATGTGTCTGGCGCTGAACTGCTTGAGGCACTCTTTGATGGTGATGAAGTTCTTCAAAGACTTCGACATTTTCGAACCCTGGATGTGCAAGTGTCCAGAATGCAAAAAGTAATTCACCCTGCAGCAGCAGCAGCAGCAGCAGCAGCAGCAGCAGCAGGTGCGGGGAAGGCGAGGGCAGCCAGCAGCAGCAGCAGCAGCAGCGGCTGCAGCAGCGCTGTGCTGTGCAGCTAGCTGCTGCCTGGCTAGCTAGCTGCTACATGGCTAACTGCCGCGCAGCTAGCTAGCTGCAGCTAGCTGCAGCTAGCTGCAGCTAGCTGCTAGATCCCTCCCTGGCTCTCTAACCCTTTGTCTCCCCTCTGTTGCTGCTGCTGCTGCTGCTGCTGCTGCTGCTGCTGCTGCTAGCTCCCGCTACTACTGCTGCTGCTGCTTCTGCTAGCCCCTGCTGCTGCTACTGCTGCTCCTAGCTTTCGCTGCCGCTGCTGCTGCTGCTGCTTCCTGCTGCTGCTGGTGCCCCTGCTGCTCCTAGCTCCCGCTGCTGCTGCTGCTGCTGCTGCTGCTGCTGCTGCTGCTGCTGCTGACCACTGGGGGCGGTCCTTGGCAGCTTCGGTTTGGGCCAACTCGTTGTCGTGGTGGGGAAAGCGAAGATCAATTCCGCCGCTGTGGATGTCCAGCGGGAAAGGCAGCAAAGCGGAGGCCATTGCGGAGCACTCTATGTGCCAGCCTGGCAGCAGCAGCAGCAGCAGCAGCAGCAGCAGCAGCAGCAGCAGCAGCAGCAGGTGTGCAGGTCTTTGTGGGCTGGAGTGGGAATAAAGGACACATTTCGAAGTGGAGGTGCAGCGGGAAAGGCAGCAAAGCTGAGGCCATAGCAGCAGCAGGAGCAGCAGCAGCAGCAGCAGGAGCAGCAGCAGCAGCAGCAGGAGCAGCAGCAGCAGCAGGAGCAGGAGCAGGAGCAGCAGGAGCAGCAGCAGGAGCAGCAGCAGGAGCAGCAGCAGGAGCAGCAGCAGGAGCAGCAGCAGGAGCAGCAGCAG